AAGTGTGAAGGTTCCCACGTTTGACTTCACCTCTAGGAAGGAATGATCAGAGATGAGTAGGTTATAAACCCCTTATAAATAGATAAAAGCTTGACATGTGCACTCACTATTAATTTCTAAGAATTACCAACCCCTGTGTCCCACCCAAGTTGCCCGCCTAGAAGGAGAAGTTGGCTGGTGGGGAGGCCACTCGCACTGTGGGAACACCCAGTTGTCTGGCTTGGGCTCCCAGCATCTCCTGCTGTCTTCTGTCGTCACATGGCTGCTGTCTCTGATTACCTAACAGGGCATGGCAATCTCTGGAAGCACATAGTAGGTTCCTAACAAATGCTAGCTGTTGGTGTAGCTTGTCTCTTTTTTTTCCTTCTAGAGTCCCAGTCTGCAGCTGGATGCGTCCCAGTGTCCAGTTGATTATTGCCATGTATGCAGTGATTAACTGTGGTTTTTAAGAGCTTGCTTTCCTTTTCTGATGGAAGACTTAAGGGTGACTTTAGGGTCCTCTGAGAACAAGGGGGTCGTGTAGAAAAGACTTTCAGGGGAGATCAAGACAAAGCTTGCTAATGCTGCTTTTTGTTCTCACACGGCAGTGCAGAGGGAAAGGCGGGGCTTAGGACTGGACACTTCCAGATCTTTCTACGGGGAGAAAGAAATTATGGTGGGAAGAGAAAGTGAAAACAGAGAGTGCTTTTAGGAAATGTCTTTACATCACAGATTAAAAAATAGATGTGCTCATCCGGCTTTGTCATCCTGACTGTGTTCATTCCTGAGATTTTCACCGTGACATCACCGCTCATGATTTGAGTCCTGTCATCCACTGCTGTGGATGTTCCCTCATGTGGACAAATCCTTAGGTTTACTGTTTGCGTTTCCATTCTTCTGCCTTTATCACTTCCACGTAATACAAACTTAAATTAAATTTCAAAACTGAAATGTTAAGTAAGCATCTGAGAAAACTGTGTTTCCTTAGTCATAAGTCGTTAACCAGCCAACAACCCCAAATTCAGGGCTGAGAAAAGAAGACGTATAAAGTTGACGAGAGTTTCACTGCCAAGAGTAGCTAAGTGCGCATTCTCTAAAGTCAGAAAGGTATAAAACGCTTTCAGTGGCTAAAGTGTGTCTGCCATTTCTTGCCCTGTTGCATATCTTCTTCCTCCATTCCCACCCTCTCAGTGCTTTTTCAGCAAAGAAGACTTTTGTGCTCTCAGTCCTGTACCTCCCCTGGAGTGGAGGGCCGTCCCTTGTGATGGAGGAGCAAGAGGTGATAGGGGAAGGACATTCTGTGGCTTTCTCTTTGGGTTAGAAGCGCATTTAGAAGTGGAGGAATATGCATTGTTTGTATGCTTTTTCTCCTCAGTCTGCATAGGATTCCTTTTCTGGAAAATGATAATAGTAGTAGCTCTTGTTATTTTCTGAAAGAGTTAGCCATTCCCCCATCCATCCCTGCATCCCCATGAAGAAGAAGCTTTCAGTTTCTGCTGAAACCATCCCTACTCCCTCAAAAGAATACCCTTTCCAGAAAGGGACGATAGCCAAGACTATTGAGGGCCGGTGAGAGCGGAAGTTGCTACACTCTTGGCAGTGGTCAACCCTAGAGTTCTGAACAGGCAACAAAAACTCCCGGAATTTGAGATGTCACTTGTGTGGTTGGTGGTCAGACTCTCAGTGGATCTCAAACATATTCTTCGGGGGGATGAATAAAAGCCCAGTCCTGTAGCCGGATGGAAAAACAGGGCACCTTGGCAATCTCACAGCTATTCATAGAGAGAAAAGAATTTCCAGAGGCAAAAATCCGTAAAGTTAACCATCGCACCAAGATGTCTTATAAACACAGCAGTTGGTCTTAGAAATATTTCATCCCAAATTCCACTGAAGTGCCCATGGTATTTCCTGTTTCTGGAAAGTCAGGGGGAAATTAAGCTGTGTTTGAAAGAAAGCAAGTGGGGCCAGATGTTGGCCTTGGTAATGATCTGCAGAGCCTAGCACTCATGTGGTGGCTGTCAGGGACACACAGGACAGCTGTCTGAAGCCATGGGAGCCTAATTTCTCTTGGCTAGGAAAGAAAGTGGAGAGGCTGTTTTGCTTATATACAGAAGGGGACAGCTGAGCCCAAACGACATTATTTTGGCTGGTAGAGCCAGTAACAGCAATTTAAAACATTATTTATATACCTTTGACAGACTTCGTCCAAATAACGTAGGCAAGGAATGTTCGCTATCCACCCGACTACAGTGACATTCTAAAGGGTTTTTTGTTTTGTTTCCGAGGAGAACACTAGACTATAACATTGTGAAACCAGATGCAGGCAATCTGATAGTGGTTTTTGTTGGTTATTTTATTTTTTTTTTGTCCATACTAATTAGAATTTTTTTTTTCTGAAAATACATGGTTGGACTTTTTGATTAAAAGAGCCTTGGGTATACAGGAGTGATTGCTGTCTGCTTTGTGTTTCACTATGCCCCACACCAAATCTCCTACTCGGGTCAAATTGGCTGGCTCTTGGTCAGTTCATAACCCTTTGTACTTTCTCAATTCTGCATTTTACTGTTGTTCTCTTTACGCGTCATCTCTGTCCTTCAGATACCAGCCATATTCTAGTGGCTCATTCGTACCTCACCACATTCATGAAGTTGACCTCGATTGTCC